TTTGGTAAAGAGAGGCAAAACTTGCACCAAACTTTTCATTCTCAAATGTAAATTAAAAACAAAATGGAAAACCACAATTAGAGCAATCAAAAAAAAAAAAAAAAAAAAACTACTGAAATCAAAAAAGACATCTTAAATATATTAAATGAGCATTTTAAATTAGCCTTTGTTTCGGAACCCAAGGATATTCCTTGGATACCCAAGGAATAAACAAGTTCTCACAAAAAATATTTTAATGATTTCACCAATAAAAAAACAACTAAGTATGTTAGAAAGTATAGATGAGTCAAAAACGATATGTTTTAATGAAACTTTTAATAACACAGTATACCACAAAAAGTTATTAAAAATGAATAAAAATATGATATAACTGGTAAACGTATGAATAAATGCAAATATTTATTATTCTTAATAAAATTTCAAAATGTGCATTTGTTAACACTAGCGTTCAATAGGGCTAGGTTCTGGGTCATATTTAATATCTGCTATTCATGAACGAATTGATAAAAGTTGTGTCTGAACACACTTGTATGCTGATAATAGTAAAACAATAGCGATAAAAGATTTCTTTGATAAACAAGCAGAAATATAAAACTTTGAAAAATTGTGGATACTGTCTTGTCTTACTTTATCTTAAATTTGCGGCTCCAGCATGGAGTCCGCCAAAACTAGAGGGAGTTTGAATGCTTAAAATAGTTCAATGCACTACAAAGACAATATAAAACTCAAACGGAATGCTTAGCTATGAAATGTGGCTAGTTAAAGTGGGTCTAATGACCCACTCTAATTTTACAATACATTGTAAACGGAATACCTCAAGAAGTTTCTTTCCAAATTTGAAACAGAAATCTCAATATTTTTGTTAAATCCGACAAAATATTACGTACGATGTTAAACAAAAAGCACTCTAATAACATAAAAACACCCTTTTTCAAACTAAGAAATAAGTATATCATATTAAAATTACCATTGTTTATAAAAAGGTTACGCAGGTTTTCAGTTTTTTGTAACCCTATCTGATAAACTTTACTTAACCCTAATCATAACCCACTTAAGCTGATACTTTTTATAAAAACAAAAAACATTCAAAATCTATTCTGAAAATAAATTGCTTTTGCTTTTATAAATTTAAATTGTGTGTTAAACAAATTTTTTTTACCAATTTTTCTTAAAATCAGAGTGAAAGAGTTGTTAATTGAAAAGATTCTGGCTCGCAATTATTATTTCAATTAGCAATACTTCTTTCTTCAGAATTTTAAAACTCGGCAACGGAATGAAAAAAAATATATATATATTAGAGTTTTTTGGTTTACCATGACAATAAACAAAAAATAATTAACACAGATTTTATCAAAGCTTACTTTTAATAGAATCTTCCACAATTGGAGGACATACCATGTTTCTGTTATCAGTTATATTATCGTGTATTATTGAATATGTACCAGAAGTAAAGCATATAAGTAATGTATGAATAAATACCTAAAAGTGGAAAGTCAGATAACTAAAATAAACGTCCTTATTTTCTTTTCTTAGTGTCTAACTAATTGTCAATTTAAACTTCAACTTACACTACTTTTACAAACCATTTTATTTTTTTTTCAAATATTGATTGAAAAACCTAAAACAAAACAAAACATTTATTGGTTAAAATTTGTTTACGTATTTTTCTCTTAAAATAAAATGTATTTTTTAGTGTCATCAATTATAGTACTAATTCTAAACAACAACTTGATCAAGTACAAATCACTCAAACTCTTCATTTAGTTGTTTTTATTTTTTAATTGTTTATATATTTATTTGTGTATACAATAGAATATAAATAAAAGATCCATTTTCTTTCTCTACGTATATATTTATAAAAAACAAAACAGACTCCATTTAACTCTGATCTATTTTTGATATATATAGCTCATCTTAAAAAAAAAAAATTGTTCCAAAACTAGATTATTGTGAAGAAATCTAAATTCAAAAACAAATATTTTTCAGCATCAACAAAGATAAAGTAATCAAAACAACAATCAAATACAAAAATTATATCAGAATTTACAAAAATCTATTCAGTATCATATAATAGAAATCTATGCAAAAATAGTACATTAAATAAATAATCAAATGACACCGTAAAGTAATAAAAGACCTAGCTTTACCAAACTGCGTTTCTCTCTAACATCAACTTTAAAATACTTTTTAAATAAAGGTTGAAATTAAATGCAATTAAAACGTATCAAAATAATTTGTAAAAAATGTACTCACATAACATGATGAATAATTACGCAACAAATGTAGACCAAATCAAAAGTCATACGATAGTGTAATTTTTCATTATTTAAAGGTGACCAAAAAACTTAATAACAAACTTAATTCTTGGCTATGTTTTAAATAAATAATTTTATAACGCATTTAACATATCTACTGATTAAGATTCTTTAAAAATTTAAAACCTAAAATTTCATGTAAGAAATTCGTTTAAGGTTCGTTTTATCAGATTTTTATCTTCACTATAGGTTGAACTTTTTTATACTAAACAAGATTAAATGGTTGGTACACAGTCATGGTTGATAAATATTTACATTTGGCTTAATTACTTATAAATAAAAATTTACGTAAACTTTTTTTATTTAAGTAAAACCATTTTTGATATACTAAAAAAATCGACTAAATATAGCTTTAAAAATTTTTATAATGCAAACGCTGATTTTTTTACACTGTCATGGTTGGTTAAAAGTTGTTATTGTTTCACGGTCATCAAAAACTGAAAATCTGTTATAAGTTACATAAATTGTTTTATTCCTGTCGTTTAGTTTACAAAAATGAAGCATTTAACACTTAAAGTGAAAAATATTAGATCGATTTCGACAAAAAAAAAAAAAAATAAGCAAACTAGTGAACAATCTTTCCATTATTGGCTTTTAACTAATTAATACAAAAATTATTTATGAGCCACATTAAAAATTTTCTTATAATTGCTATTGAACAACATTTATTCCCTAAAAGTATTTCTGAGACTACTTGGTTAAATAAACTATTAGATTACCTATAATTCTAAAAGTAAATTGTTTAAGTAAGTTTCTTTAAACTTGATAAAGTATAGATTTGATCATAACGCTTTTTACCTTGCCAAAGCATTTGATCTGGTCATTAACTACTAATTACTTAAATAAATTTACTTATAAGTTAGGTAATCAAAAAATATGTTTACTAAATGTATAAATAACTTTCTTTCGATTACTTTAAAAAAAGTTGAATTAAATATTAAAACATTAAAACAAATTCAGAACCAAACAACGGCCTGTAATAATTCACAGCATCTGCAATTGCAGTTGGTAGCACTTACTATATTAAAATAGTTTGTTAAAATCTCTAAGAATAATGATATACTATCATTATTCTTAGAGATTTTACCTGACGCACCGTAAAAGAGAGCTTTTTGAGAAGACCAGCATGCCAAACTTTATCAAAACCTTTAGAAATGCCAGGAGCAATAGCCTTAGTCTCCCCACATCTATTTTATGCACAATAAAACCTACCAGTTGATGCCATTAAAAAATCAGCTATAGAGTGAGATGATCGAAATTTATATTAATTATCAGAAAGCAAGTTAATTGATTTAAGATGATAAATTAAGTTTTTGTTAAGTAAAGACTCAAAAGGCTTGCTTATAATAGTAACAAGATTAATGGGAAGGTAGTTAGACGAGTTAGATTGCTCTGCAGAATTTTTGAAAAAGGGGATAACATTTGCTGTTATCCAGCAGGCTTCAAAATAAGACTCTGAAATGCATTTCTTAAATAGTTTTGAAAGTATAGACAAAAGCTCCGGAGAACACTTTTATAAGACTATAACAGGTACGATGTCCGGACAACAAGCTGTAAAAGAGTCTAAAAAGGAAATCACTTTAAATTCAGAAGCTGGAGTAAGACAAAGGTAGACAATGGATTAACTTGCTTGTTGAATATATCAGGTAGCGCGCGGTTTATGGAATCAAGAGATTATATTGATGAGAAAATCAGCTTTGTTTTTAGATGATAAAATAAAATCTGATTCGAGAGGCTGAATAACAGATTTACTTTTGTTATAGATACTGTATAACAATAATAAAACTAATAATAATAAAACTAGCTATCATGACCCGTAAAATACAGGTGTTAGTAAATCTATTCAACATCGACCTTTCCTATACTTATTCTTCATTTTAAAATATTTCAGTAAGCGGTAGAAAAATAATTAAATACATATATATATAAACTTATTGTTCACTTTTTAAAGCTATAAAATAAGTTTTTAATTATATTTAACTTTTAAAAATTTTTCGGTAGACATTGTGTGAATCTTTATTTATCAGCAAATTGAATATCAGTACCAGTCCAAATAATATTTAGAATACCCGCTTGATATGTCTTGATTAAATACTATTGGTATAAAAAGTTTCAAAAAACATGATTTGATTTAAATATGTGGAGTAACAGACTTACGATGACCCGCATAATTATTACTGAGTATTAATTTATTATTGGTCATGGAAAGTTTATTCCACACCTATCATTTTAATAATTTTGCTTTATTTCAATAATTTTTTAAATTTTTTCTATGCCTCGTGCCAGTGGGCACGAGGCATAGAAAGACGTCTTTTGAGCGTTCAAAAGACGTCAAAAACGTCAATAAGACGTTTAAAAGACGTCTTTTATACGTCCCGTGCCCACTGGGCAAACTGTGAACATTTTACTGTTGAATTAACAAACCAAAGTAAAGCAAATGCTTATATAATTGGCTTATATAGATCATCAGATAGCAGTATAAAATATTTAAAAAAACATATAATTCAGTGCCTAGAACTGGGTAAACAAAAGCACTTATACATAATGGGAGATACTAACTTGGATCATTTAAAATTAAAGATTAATAACTAATAATAAGTATTATTAAAAATAAAAACTAATAACTAATAATAATAAATATCACATTAATCATACCATTACTTGCTTAAACAAAATGGCAAAAAATGTTACTCCAGCTCAAGTCAAGGAACTGCTAGATATTCACGAAAATATCATGCTCAAAATATTCAACGAGCGCTTTCAAAAGTTAGAAAATGACTTTTTAATCATTAAAAACAAGCAGTTAAAAAAAGAATTAGATCAAACCAATTCCACAATTGAATTCTTAAGCGAAAAATACGAAACATTAAAAGAAGCCTTGAATAATAGTAAAATGAAGACATCTTCTCAAGATAGTATTAAACAGAAAGCAATAAATCTTGATAATGAGTATCTTAAAGACAAGATGGCTGAGTTAGAGGATAGGAGTTGCCGTAACAATCTTAGATTTGAAGGAATCGAGGAAACCGAAGGGGAAACATGGAAAGGCAGCGAGGAGAAAGTGAAAAAGTTTATTAAAGAAAAATTAAATATAAACGAAGAAATACATATAGAACGCGCACACCGAACAGGGAAGAAAGAAGACAACGACGGTATAAGAAGAAAAAAAAAGAACGATAGTTGTAAAGTTTCTTGATTACAAAGATCGTGAAACTGTATTTCAAAACTACAAAAAGGTAAAGTTATGGAATGAAAAAGTATACATTAATGAAGACTTCAGTGAGCGAACAACAAACATGTGTAAACAGTTATTTATTAAAGCTAAAGAAATACGTTCTTCAGATAATTTTGTTAAAGTGGTTTATAATAAATTAATCACAAAGTCTTTTTAAAAGACTATTATCAATTATTAATTTAAAAAAATATGTTTTAATATATATATATATATATATATATATATATATATATATATATATATATATATATATGTATAATATTTGTTTATGTATGTAGTGTGTGTATGTGTGTGTACATATATACAAAGGTATATAAAAACCTCCGAATATATTCAAAACTACAAAAACAATTCAAATGGATTCATCTTATAGAAATGCTTTTGAAAAAGTATCAAATTTATTTCACACTAATACTTTTAATTTAGAAATTGAACCTATCCAGATATTAATTATTTTAATGAGATTAATGGACCTGAATTCGAATGCTCTTACTTTTATCCAGATAAAATTAAAAGCATTTTAAAAAGTGATGATAATTGTGATTATTTTAATGTAATCCACATTTATATGAGGAGTTTAAAAAAATTTTTTGATAACTTTTTTATTATGATTTGCGAAACAGAATTTTTTTTTAACAATATTTGTTTAACTGCAATTTGGTGTAAAGAAAAAGATTTTAAATCGAACTCTAATCTCCATCTTCTACGTTTTACTACAATGTTTTTAGAGCGTAATGTTAATAAGCGTGGAGAAGGAGTACTTTTTTACATAAAAGAAAACATTGCGTATAATATTAGACGCGAGATGAGTGTCTCGGATGAAAATATCGAGATTTTAACGGTTGAAATAATAAACAAACAATTTAAAAATATTTTATTAAGCTGCTACTATCGGCCCCCGACTGGATGAACTGAGTACGTAAGCAAATGTCTAATAAGTAATTTAATAGCAAAAACTAACTAAGATAAAAAAAAAAATTACATACTTGGCTATTTCAATTTAGACTCTTTCCATTATAATAAAAAACAAAATATAACAAATTTTTATAATTATTTATACCAAACAGGAACAATACCCATTATTGATAAACCTACTAGAATAACAAATCATTCGTCCTCTTTAATTGACAACATTCTAACCAATGACATTTTTATTACAACGCTTAAAAAAGGCATTGTAAAAACCGATGTTTCTGACCATTTTCCTATTTTTTTCTGCATGAGCGCAAAAAGCAAACCAAGTATGCATGGAAAGGTAACAATTAAAAAACTTGTTTACAACAACACTAACCTAAATTTATTTAAAAAGCAACTTTTGAATCAAGGCTGGAGCTATTTAAATTTCAATGAGGATATAAACCTTATCTATAACTCTTTTTTTAAACTTTTTATAAAACTTACAACGCAAACTTTCCATTGCGTGAAACAATTCTTAACGCCAAAGACCTATCTTGTCCTTTGATTACTAAAAGAATTAAAAAGTCCTCAAAAATAAAGCAAAAACTTTATGTTAAGTATCTAAAAAATAAATCAGAAAAGCATAAAATCATTTATACAGTCTATAAAAAGTTATTTAAAAAACTCCACAAAAAAGCCAAAAAATTTTACTATTCGGACTAGCTCAGATGGTTAGAGCGTTAAAGGAAAAGTTAAAACCTGGACTGTTGAACGACACGAGTTCAAATCCCGTCACCGCCAACTCAACGCTTGAGTAGTACTTCGGTACGCAAAAATGTTGGTCAATAACAGACGCCACTTTGGATTAGTCTTAATGACTATTTGTGGCTGTTCCTATGCTAAGCCAACAATATCTTCGGATATAAGAACATTGTATAGAAAAATATAGCATTAAAACTCAAATAAATAAATAAATAAATATATAAAATATGAAGCACAAATATAATTCAAAGCGAGTTTGGCAAATAATGAAGGATATTACTGGTAAACATA